TGGAAACGTACACGCAAGATGTTTCTTCAACTTGTACCAATTGGATTGATATTTTTAGCATTTAATATGCCATTAATTATTGTTGGAATGCTTGCTATTACTGATTCATGGTATTATACAACACCCTATTTTTATACTGATTCTTTTTCGTATTGTTTACAATTCTTGATGCCGTTTGCCGTTCTTTCTAGACAGAAAGAAATACTAAAACGACTCCGTATTTTGTTTAATTTACGAGGAGCAAACCGAATTGCATCACTCGATGGAACTGCCTAACCGATGCAAATTAGTAAACATCAAAGTGATTCAACAGATGATGATTGCTGTTTATGAACCACTGGATATTTGTATTATATCTTCTTTTAATACTTCATTTCCTGCCTTTTGTATTTCTTAATTATACGAATGAATCTTCTCTAACAAAAGAAAACAATTTATATATTTATACATCAAGTATTTCTTCTATTTTCTTCATTCATACACATTGCTTTCTACTAGGGTCTTTTTTCTTGACTGAAATCAAAGTTTTGCATTTTGTAATCAATTTTATTTATTACCGCATGAAATAATTCATGACAAGTATAAGGCAAAGAATATCTAAATTTGTTTTTGAAGACAAGTTACATTAAAAACGACAGAAGAAAATCAATAATAAAAGATAAATCTATTGACACTGACATCTCTGAGAAACAGGATCTCTCAAAAGTCACGTTACATCGGAAAAAAAACTTTGATTTCTCCATCATATTCTAATTAAATGAGATGATCTTTCTATCACTACTGAAAAGAAGATATTTGAACATACAAAGATATGGATTTAAATGGTGTGGGTGGGAATGTAAATATATAGTGAACGTCACACCCACACCCTTTTTATTTAAATAAGATATAGATTTTCGAGTACATTACACACAATATTATAGGATGATGTGCAATAAAATACTGTTCAGATAAATAAGCGCGTAATGTCAAAAACAATGTTCGTGTCAATTTTCTATTCATTCGCAGTATTATCAGGCACGTCATCTGATAATATTTTGCGTCTGATATCGTCCTGGATTTTTTCTTCGAAGAAATGCTTCTTCGTGTAATACCATGCTCTTTGACAGTAACCATGCGCTCTTTGATCGGATGTTAACAAGGCAACAGGTCGAGAAGGCATACATGATCTTCGATTTCCACATTTACAACATACAAATTTCATGAATCGACGAAACTGTAAACGTAAGATTTCACCATCTGACACAAAACTGTAGAGCATCTGATTACGCCAAAGAGTACCTTCAACCATTAAAGTTGGAATTTCACCAACAGCGAGACCTAATAGTGAAAAATATGTCATCATTGTGAAGATTTTATGTAATTAGAATTGTTTAATTTATAGTCTTGCACTTAGAAGATATGCCAATAAAGATTATTCTATCGCATTCCTGACGACACAATAATGTTCGATATTAAAACTTAGTAGTTTTTTAAAAGACTCTTCTTTGCTGCTCTTGTACTGTCACAAACTAATAATGATTAATACAATTCTCTTAGATTCGATTTTTTTCCAAACTACTTGTTGAGTGGACTACTAAAGAGACGAATCTAAAATATTGATTCACAAGAGTTTTCTTACCAATCAGGAGATTAATAATAAAAATGCAGAAAACAATGGCTGTCAAAATCATAATGACATAGACAAGCTTGTAATATGCTACTTGGTCAGGTGCGCTGTAAAGTCGACTCTCATAACCAAGATCGAACATCATTAAACTTGTGCGTAGAAGAGCTTCAGCAGGTGTGGCATACACAAGCTGATTTTGTAATAGCATCCAATATGTAAAACCAAATCCGCAGATAATAATTAACAATACAGGTAGAAAGCGAAGAAACTTGACACAGATGACTTGAAGCATAGCTACATAGAGACCAACACCTAACCAAGGAATACAGCGAACATAAGCGAGAAGATTCATCCAAGAGAGAAGTAGACCCATAGCTCCAATTTGGTATTGAACAGGACACCGAAAAGCTACTGAACTTTGCCAGTCGTACCAGTCTAGTATATAGACGAAGGAAAGAATAAGAGCAATGGCTTCGAAATAGTAAGCCCCAATGCGGAAAACTTTTGGAAAGAGAGCTATAATTAGAATAAAATTCTTGAAAATGAACACCGAGAAAAAAATATAAAGAGCCACGCTAAGTCGTCGATATGTATCGGTCTTTAATACTTCGGTGACGTTCTGCAAGACGAGACTGTTAGCAACCTTTTCACATGTACCAATATCTAACGTCATATTGAAATCAGCTAAGTCATAGAAATATTGAGGATGTTTCCCACTAAGAACCATCGCAGTCCACAAACCGAGCAGAATAAGATAAAAGAAGAATGGTAAGGCCAACCAATATGTGCCAAATCGTCGAAAAATCTTTCTAAGTAATGATTTATGAAACTGATGTGCCATTAATTTCGGATAGGTCGATTGTTGAGAAACTATTAGTAGAGGATGATTTCGAACCAGCGTATAAGCATCACGTGTATACAGTTCATTATCGCTATCATTTTCGTCATGAACAGTTGTATTATAGCAACTGGTACTGCAGGAACAATCATAAATGGCGTTAAAGCCGAGTTTATGCCATCGAACTTTGCATGAAAGATCTTCTGAAGGTAACTTTGCACCTATTCAAATAAACATTTTCATAAGGACACACAAAAAAATGATTATTATCATCGCTGAAATCGGTATTTCTTATACGAATATTTCAGTGGATCCTTTAACTACATCGGATACTCCTTTAGCTGTGCTAACTAAGTCTTCAAAACTTTTGTCTCGAACTTCACTGTTGTATAGAGATATAGAAAACGAGTTTGATTTTTTCCAATCGTAAAGTATCTTATTTAGTTTTGTTTATCAACGTACCTTGTTTATACCACGGTTTGACTGTATACATATCTTCATGAAATTCATAATCGTAGATCTCTTTGGATACTTTTTGACCTTCACCGCCAACTTTCCGTGTTAGTTTTTTGTCTATCATCCAAAGAGCTACATCAGGCATGTATCGAATCAGTTTTCTCATTGGTGTATCATAAGCGTCTGTTGCCTCGATAGGTTGTGCATTACGCATCATTTCTCGCCAGTTGGGACGCTGTAAAAGATACTTGACTATTTCTTCGTGCTGCTTTTGAATAGAAATTTCTAAACAATTGAATAATTGTGCGTTGCGTAATGTAGGTGAGGCACCTTTCTTGACCAGGTACTTGACTACATCAAGATGTCCATATTCACAAGCAATATGGAGTGGAGTGAGTCGGCGGCCACCAATGGCATTAACTTCAATACCCACCTTTTCAATCAAATATGTAAGCACTTCGACTCCTGAACAAAAAATAAGAGATATTTTTTATTGAACAGTTCGAACTCTACTAGGATCTTTTGAATAATAGAAGTTTGAGAAAAAAAAATAAAAGTGATCAATCAAAAATGCATTGATAGGTGTGAGATTACTCACTTTCATCATTTTCACTCATAGCTGCTATATGTAAACAGGTAAATCGGTTATTGTCGTCTGCCATAAACAATCCTTTCGTACGATCCGTCTGATCGTTTTCCGAAATAGCTTCCCACATGAGTTCAAGAATACCAGTTTGTCCTCGTTCACTTGCCTCATGAGCAACTGTTTTGCCTTGACGATTTTTAATGGATAATAATTCGAGTATTTGTGAGATCTTTCCATCAGTATTTGACGAACGTTCGATTTGCTTCATTTCTTCGATTAATATTTTGCAAATATGAGATTCGTTTTCGGTATTTATTTGAGCCACTAAATGTAATGGAAGATTACCACTGTTGTCCTTCGCTTGCAGCAGTTGTGATTTATTGTCAGTAGAGAGTTTTTCCATGATCATATCGAAAATGTCTTTCGATACTTGACGCTTAGCACAAATATGTAAGATGTTGTCCTGTTCTACAGTTCCTACTGCCAGCAGCGATGACTGAGACTTATCGTCTATTCTCTAAATAATAAAAGTACTAACTAAGTGATACTATTGAATTTGTTGTATTCCGAGAAAATTAAATGAAAATTGCTAGATCTATGATTGAAGTTATAAATGGAAACTAACGTCAAATCAATCTTATAGGCAACAATCGGACGTTTTTTGAATATTAGAACAAGGTGTACTAATTTAGTCATTTATGATTCTTACGAAGCTACACGAAGGCAGAAATGCTAGCTATGCCATTATCGAAATATTCATTTCACTAGACAGACCTCATAAATGATACTAATTGGTTACAACTACAGATCATATAAATTATTTCCTCCTATCAGTTCTTTGCGTATCAACACTAAGTAAAAATAAAAGCATACTTTAATCATCTTCTCGACACAATTCTTTGAGTTGTAAAACGTCGCTGTTAGTAATGGTGTATACTCAGCTTGGTTCGTCGAGATAGAATGTTCTTTCAATTCTTGCTGATTTAAAAGCCATTCGAGAAGCCTTGCATTGTCATGACGACACGCCACATGAACTAGTTGCTCTTGATTTTCAGGCGAAGATACTTCGAGAAGACATTTTAAATGATTAAACTCTTGATGGTGTTTACGTCGAGCGATCACATCGAATACAATTATAATTTGTTCTTCGTCCTTCACGTTTTCAGTAAATATTTCCATGAGAGAATTCTTAGACTTTTGTTGCGCTTCCTTTTTGTCATTTGATGACGAACGTGTAATAGCTGGATGAGATGCCACAAAGACAAGAGGTTTCATGTTGTCAACTGTACAAAGATTTAAAAGATCTTTGCTTTGCTTTGATGATTTTTTCTTTATATATTTCACTAGAGTAAGAAGTTCTTCTGCATTCATAGGATTTATAGGAAGAACGGAATAATGTAGTACACTTGCGTTGATTTTGGTTAATGCCTATACAAAAACATAAATTGCTATGATATAGATGTCATACTCACGTCAACTTTGGCTCCATGATAGATTAAATACTTGATATAAGGACGTCGACCTCGCATCGCGGCCAGATGCAAAGGAGTACGACCTTCGTCATCAGCATGATTGACATCGGCACCACAATCTTTAATAAGTAATTCGATCATACGCAATGGATTTCCAGTTTTTGATTGCTAACATATAGAAAAAAACATATGTGCATATATATTTCATATGTTTATCAACATTTATATATAACCTTTGAATGTCATTTTCTCTACATTTACACTGCATTTATGCAAATTATTAGAACATGAGCAAAATATTTAGCTATGAAATCTCGGATCAACTCTATGAAAAAGCAGTTAGTATTGATCCAGAAACAATCTTCTCAGTTATTTAACTCGTAAGTAAACACTCACATTTGCCCATATGCAATTCGATTGAGCTATCACATGTAAAACATTTTCACCAATACCAGTGAGAAGGTTGACATCTATATTGATATTTTTTGAAATAACAAATACTGTTTTTTTTGGTACGAAAAAAACATACCACATTGATATTGACCTTCTTTCGATGTTAACCAGCGACATAAATCCACATTATTACAGTCAACAGCATAATGAAGAGTTGTCCATTGTTTCGTGTTATCGGGAGTGCTTATCATTTTCTGCACGCTTTTCTTTGAAATCCTATCTTTTTCGACTGCTGCTTCGAATAGACTCCATTTTCCTAGAAACGTCTCCAGATCTTTCTCCGAGACGGCCTATACAAAGTTTATTAGGTAAACAAGGGCAGAATTCTTTTAGAGTTTGATAAATAATTTTTTACCTCGAAGAGAAGCTCTTGAACCGATTTTGCTTCTGATCTGTCATAGTTGACTAATGGCCACTTTTTAGATTTTCGTCGAGATCTAAGCTGAGGCAGTTTTTGAACGATTAAATCGATAGTTGTGTCTGACTCTGACTCCACCGATAAGTTGTCCCAATCGCACGTATTTTGAGACATGTGTCAGTCTACAGGGAAGATCAACCTTAAAAATGTTTCGTCGTGTTTACGAGATCTAAAAATAAAGTCTATGAGAGATGGATCGTATAGCGTTCGTGCAGATTATTTTTCGCTTTTTTATCTCAACTGAGAGGTCTGATTGAAACATACTCGAAACCAAAATATCAAGTTATGTGGTCTAACCGTTGAAAAATATGAGTAAAACCAAAGCTAAAGGGTTTAGAGTAGAAAAGGCACAAATAGGTTCTTGTGCTCATTGATCTCCAAAGCTGGCTTAGAATCGTTTTACGAAGTTTTTGAGTCATTTTTAGGTATTCAATAAAAAATCAAATAATAAAGTTCCAACCTAAAATCTTGCCCGGAGATAGGTCTAGTGACTCTCAAAATATTCTAAATTTTTCAGTCAAAAAAGAATGTTTGTTTGTCATTGACACATAGAAATGGAGTTTATTTGATAATTCAATATCTTGGGAATACAGGTGCAGTTATTACTATAGTCTAGCACTCACACCCTAAATTCTAAACTCCGCAAGGTACTTAGTGTGGTAAAGCATATGAACATTAGATTGCTTTACTCACCCTTACTATAGATACTAGTCAAAAACTCGGCTTAATCGATAAGTACTCGAATTCATCTTCGTACGGGCGTGGCAATAATTTTTTTCTGAAAAAGAAAATGTAACAATGATAGCAAAGAATATACCTTTCAATATTGAGAATGTAGAAACGATGACAGACACGTTTTTTTCAAGAAGGAGCGTATAGGAATGAGAACAAGAAAAATGCGTTTGCCATTGAGAATGCAGGAATAATGATGGACAATTTTCTTTTCCGGGAAAAAGTTTGAGGATGAGGATGAATTAATTTTTTCTGAAAGGAGAATGCAGAAATGAGTGAAAAAAGATTCTTCCAACACGGAGAATATAATTATGGTAATGAACAAGGTTTTTCCGGGAAAAAAGTGTAACAACACTAACAAAAAACAGCTTTTTCAGGAGGATTCTCACTACTTTTTGGACAATCTAAAATCGCTTACTGCTCAATTGAAAATGAAATTCCATCAATTATTTATTGCCTAAAAAATCTTCAATCTCTCATTATAGAAGAGACGAATATTACATATTTCTCAAATGATATTAAAAACTTGAAAAGCTTACAGGCTCTTAGCATAAGTTCTGCATCCCCGCTTTCTAGACTTCTCGATGAGATAGGAGATCTTAGCCAGTTACAAGGATTATGTGTTGGTGATTGCCGTGAATTAGCCTATCTACCGCACACCCTCAATATGGGATATATCTGCTTTGTAGTCTATCTTTATTTTGGACTGGAATAAGAGAACTACTTATGGAAGTAGCTGATCTGGACAGTTTAACTCAACTACAACTGCACGGTAACTATTGCATGCTATATTTGCCACGTAGGATAAAACAGTTACATTCGTTGAAATATCTAACAATCAGCGACATGCCAGGGATTTTTCTTGATGATTTGCAAGGTATTCCTAACTTGCGAAATTTGAAATGTCTAGATCTTCATGGTTGTGAACTATCATCGTTACAATGGCCAGAGATCATCAAATTATCAAAAACTCTTCGCGGTCTTAATTTGGAAGGAAAAAAGTTGACAAATCTACCTATTGAATTGGTACACATGGAACAATTAACATATTTAAATTTATATGGCAATCCATTGTCGAACAGTACACGAATGAATATACAAAATATGTTTATCAACAATACGAAAGTTAAAATCAGCTACGAGCCTAATACTTATTGGGAAAATGTATGTGGCTGAGAAATAAAGGCGGAAAACTATAAAGAGAATATTTTCAGAGCGGATGCCGTTAGCGAACTGGTTTTGTCACCATTTGAAAGAGAGACTTTTAAAATATAAATCTTGATTATATTCAAGAGATTAGTTACCGTCGAAGATTTTGTTTTCTGTAGAACAAAAGTATTTTCGAATGAATGTTCAATTCTAAGGTGATCATTCGATAGGCTAAGATCCGCTGTTTATCCTTCAGAAGTGTTGGTAACAATTATATATTTGAAGTCCACATTCATATCGTTAAGATCTATTAATCATAAGAAAAATCCATGTGTTATAAAGAACAATGGAAACATCAACAATATACTGATTCTAATCAATTACCATATAAATATGAGAGAACTTGTCATTTATATCCTATTTTTCCGAACAACATTCCTATTTCTTACTAAAATAAAGTCATTAAATAATAAAAGATAATTCACAGTTTTAATGAATTAATTAAAAATAAGCAAAAACTGAATGCAAGTTATTTGTTATTTCATTCTTAAAAAAATCTTTACTTTCATATTTTATTGATTTTTCTGATGCACATTTGAAAGTGAAGTGACTGCTCGAACAGATAATTTCACATACGGTAATATGATAGTGATATTTAAATCGAAGTTTATTTTTGACAGTATACTTTAATATCACTATGATTCATGTAAATATTTTTTTTTCAATTAAAATATCCATCGAATGGATACAGAATCTTCTTGAAATTTCATTAAACTACGTAGTTTTAGTTGGAATAACGGCAGCAAGAAAATGTAATTTCAGTTATAATAACATAATTTCCTGTATGAAAATAACGTCTCAAAAAGAAATTAATAGCACATGATACGCCCATGCTATACTGATTTTTTGAACAATAACAAATTGTCATGCCTTTCTATAAAAAGAATGTTAATATATGTTTTCAAGTATTCTTTGTTTCGCTGAACAAATAATAAATTAAATTCTTATTTTTTTTTTAATAGACAGTTCTTAGTAACGTATAAAGGAGAGAAAATATATTTCGATTGTTATATATTAGTTTGATAAAAGAAGAAACAAACTCGGTAACATCCGTCGTTATAACATTTAAAAAACACAATTATCTTGGTAATATATAATTATTTAAGACACCTTTCCTCTATACAAAAATAAAATTATTATTCTAGTCAGTACAAAAATTTATTAGTTAGTTTTTATCGTATCAATACAATTATATGATCATTTCGATATCGATGGAAATTAAAGAAGACAGTTTTTTACCTACGAATTAAATCAATTTTTTGATAGAATATGATCATGTCTCAGATTTGAATTTTTTAATGTAGAAATACATTCTATCATTATAGTTTGTTTCATTATTCTACATTGAAGTATTGATTATATTAATCGACTATAGGTTAATATTCTTTTTTCCCCAAACATACATTCGGTAGAAAGTCATCTTTTATTTGATTCTTCTATTTAGGAATCATTTTCTAAAGAACTCTATCATTTAAACAATTATTTTTCTTTTTTTTGAAGAATTACTCAATTTGCGAAAAATGTCTAATACAAGTACTACGACATTATACATTGCGACATTAAAAAATATTTCCAACCAAATAACTTTTTCAATGTCAATTATAATTCTCGTTTCGGGTCTAATTGGAAATCTACTCAATTGTTTAGTATTTGGTCAACGTTCACTTCGTTCTAAACCATGTGTGATCTATTTTCTCTTGGCTAGTATATCGAATTTAATTGTTATTATTGCCGGTGTAACACCAGGTGCGTTACAAAGTTTTTTTAAGATTCCAAATCAAACTGAAACTGTTCCAGTTTTTTGTAAACTACGTATAATTGTATTGTTTACAATGCGTACTATTTCCTCTTGGTTACTTACTCTTGCTACAGTCGATCGTTCTTTAATTTCAAATACTAATGTTCATCGACGTCGACTAAGTAATTTGAAGAATACTTATATTTGCATTTTAATTGTTAGTATTAGTTCCAGTTTAATTTGGGCTCAAGTTGGGTATTGTTTTGATGCAAATTTAATTGGAACACCACAAAAATGTTATGCTAAATCAGATGTATGCCGTATTTTTAATGATCTTGTTCAATCGTTGATTACTACAATCATACCAGCTTTAGTTATGTTAGCATTTGGTCTGTTAACTATTCGAAATATTCGCCATACTCAACAAATAAAACCTTCGACTGACCCGATGAGCACTACTGTTAGTCGAAATACCCGTAAAGATGAAAGAAGTTTAACAATTATGCTATTAGCACAAGTAATTCTCCTCACTATATTTACTTTCCCACAAGCTGGTCAAAAATTTTATTTAACTTATTCATTTTATCATACCAAGAATTCATCACAAAGAGCTTTAGAAAGTCTTATTTTCAATTTTGTTCTTCTTCTAACATATATTCCTAGTTGCATTCCATTCTATTTATATACAATTACTGGTGTCTTATTTCGTCAAACACTTTTCAACGTATTAAAAAAAGGATTTGATATGATCAATTGTTTTCATTAAAAACTATAATAATATATAACATTCATTTTTATCTCTAATCATGTAATCTTAAATTTGAAATAAAATCTTATTTTATTCTAAAAGATCTTCAAAATGTGTGACATTCAATACGATTAATCGTTTATTTTATACTGATTTCATAAATATCATTTGTTTTGTTTCCCTATCGAACTGAAAAATATATCGAATATACGACTCATTTTTGTTTTGGAAAACGTTTCCTGATGTTCATTTTCATGAACACCTACCTTCTAAAAAAAAAAGTAAATTTAATGGCAGCCTCATAATATTCTACCGACTGTTTATCGTTCTCTTTTTTTTGTATCGTCACATTATGAATCATTCCTGTGATCAATAGAATCATGGCTAAAATTACTTTTTTGTTCTTTTGCATTTTCACAAGTAGTGTATGTGGGATATGAGAACAAAATTTCTAGCTTTTTCTTCCAAATTCTTGTCTTTGTAGTCCTTTGTGTATATAAGCGGTGTGAACGGATGTTGCTATTCTACTTCGCCCACACACTATCGTCACACTCACCCTCAAGTTTCATAAAAGACTAAGATCTTTTATCTGTCGATCATACAGTTGTTTCATTATTTAAAAACTTTATAATATCATTATAAGTATAAGATTTTTCGAATACTAGGATACGGGAGTATATAAGAAATTGATAGATTAATAATACCTACACTCGTAATTCTCGAGCTCCATAGTTTCGATAGATGTGAATATGACTAGTGAGAATACCTAAAACGGTACTAATGCATTCCAGACCTAAGATATAATTTATTCTTTTAACAAATTCAATATTTAAAGCTTGACAACACAATATCAAACAAACAAATGAGTTGATCTCGGCAAATAAATTAATTTATTAAAAATCAGTTAACTCCAATATTAAATTTTTGTACTCTATGATTAGCAGAATCGGCAACATAAAGATTACCTTGTTGATCAAATGTTATACTCACAGGACTATATAACTGATTTAATTGTTGCCCATTTCCATTTCCACCAACAACAATAGTGCCTGATTTTTTATCTTTTAGCCAACGCATTATTCGATGATTTCCTGAATCAGCTATATAAAGATTACCCATACGATCAAGAATCACTTTTCGAGGATAAAGGAATTGCGTATGGTAATCTCCTTGACCTTGTCTACCAGCAATAAGCATTCCTCGTTTTGCACCTTTCAACCATTTGAGTATATGACTATTATTAGAATTCGATATATAAAGTGAATAATCTTCATCAATGAAGATATAAATAGGAAAATTAAGTTGGTCATTTTCATCTCCTATTCCATTTCCACCTGCTACAACTGTTCCATCTATTTCTCCTTTTATCCATTTTTTTATCTCATGCTTCTCACAGTCACAGACATAAAGACTTTCACTGTTATCCATTGCTAGACCATAGCAATGAATGTTTGAGATGATTATTTGTTGATATGCTGGATTTCGAAGAGATACTCGAACTACACGCCTATTGCCTTGATCACAAATGATGAGAGAATTATTCTTTTGATCAAGAAGTAGATCAACTGGAAAATTTAATTCATTCAGTTGATTTCCACCAACGATAACTTGTCCGCTCTTCGCACCATATTCCCACTTAACAATACGATCGTTCCCACTGTCAGCAATATAAATCACTTGAGTCTTATCATTAATAGTGATACCAAGAGGCGATGACAAACGATTTAATTGACTTCCTCGTCCATTTCCTCCAGCAACAGTTGATCCGTTTTGTATCCATACAGTATTATTAGTAATATTCATAGAAAATTGTAATTGCTCTATAAAACATTACAAGTTTAGTTATGCTGACACTATGGTAGGGACAAACAGAAACTAGCTCTCATATATTCATATATCCATCGGTAGGTTATGAACTATTCAAAGCAGAAAAAAACAGCAACTTGAGTCGTGACGAGAAACAAATTAATGAGGAAACTTTGAGCTTGTAGTACATTTTGTTTTAATATTATACATTCATATAAGGTCAAAATTATTGTGCTTTCAATATCTCAGAAAAAAGATCAAGAAATAGTAAATAACTTCGGGTGGTTCTGTTGTAAACTATGTCATCATTCAATAATGAATGAGCTGACTTTCTTCAGTCAAGATGGGAATTTTAACATGATGTATTATTTAAATAGAATAACTTAGATACCAATATACGAGAAAACTATACCTCCTATTATTGTATCGTCTTCTGTTGTCATTGTAAGTTCCATTGTTGATTCTTCTGTATCTGTCATTATCGTCGTCGATTCTGTAATGTTAATCTTTTTTCTTGTTGTGATAATTGTTGGAATAATTACGATTAAGGCAACAACAATAACGAGGAGAATGATCCATATTACTTTTCTTTTTCGATAACACTCACATCTAAATAGAAGAAAAAAAAGTCCTTGTTATCATTTACTAATGGATGTACCCGGTTTTTATAAGAAAACTTTACATGCTGGAAAAAGGTAGAAAATTTACATAGGGGTGTGCTTGAAATTTTTGCATTTATCATCACAACACGTCACGCTGTTCAAAGCAGAGATGGACAACTCCTACCCTATTCCTATTTTCAGAACCCAACTCCGCAGTTGAAGTTGCCCATCTCTAGTGCATACATTCAAACCCAGCCTCGACCTTTCTTTGAACCAGAGAGTATGCCGTGAAAGGTTCGGTGGCGTTAGCTATTACAGGGACTAAATTCACAAAGAATAGACAAACATTCCTCTTTTCATATCTACATTACATTTTATAATATGCACAGAATGTTCTTGATTGATTAGTTGATGTTTGAGTTATATCAGCATTAATTGTTTCAGACTGAAATAGTTAAAAAAAAAGATTATTCTGTATATTTTTTTCTTAATATACTACATGATCAATTCCAATTTTGTTTTGTCTCATAGTCAATGTTTTATCGAAGTGTGGTATATCTAAAATCATGTAAATAAAATAAATATAAAAGTACAGAAAAAAAACCTATACATAACTTTTAACATAGTCTAATCAATTTTGATTATAATTAAAAATAAATGTTTCAAATAGTTTCAAATGATTTCTTCATATAATCATTCTGTATGTTTCCATAAAATTTATCTGTTTTTTTATATCTACGTCATTCATATTTAACATAGATATGAATAATATATAAACTAACATCTGCCTTTTATTAACTTTAATAAATATTTTTTAGTAACTAACTATGATAAAATAAAAAGAGACGTTAGAAAAAATAAATGAGATAATTAACTCTTCTTTACATTGTCTTACACAAATTGAACAAAACAATACTTTGTATCAATCAAATTATAAGTTGATTAATTATAAATTTGTAAATCTAACGATACTGAAAGTCTACGGTTAATTCATTTGCTAATGATTTTCGAAGTAGTAAATGAAAAAAGTACGAGAAGAGAAATTATCGATTAATGAAATTAGGAAAGAATATGTCTGAAAATGGACCTTTGTTATTTTGACGGCTTCTACTTCACATACACGATTCTTTCAATGAAAAACATTCACAAAACCGCCAACGTATAAATATAAAATAATGAGCTGACTTCCTTTTTTAGGATTATTTAGAAATAAAACGATAGCAGATGTCAGCTAAAAAGCTTCCATACAAAATACCAAAGCAAAAATTTGATATAGTTTTTTTATAGAAAAAAAAGAGTTGCATCATAATATTTTGTTATATCTCATTACTTCAGATAGGTAGAGAGTTATGGACGATGTCTTTCGTCAGAAATATATCTTATGTGGGTGTGGGTGTAGGTATCGGTATGAGTTTGATATTGATTTTTGATGATTTTTATTCTAGAGAATACTATTTTTTAAGAGTAGGTGTCGATATAAAGAAGAAAGCTCTCATTTATAAAAATAATGAATAAATATGTTTCAATTAATGAGAATAACTATTAATCATAAACTATTATTTTCTCGAAAACTTTGATAGAATGATATGGGTGTGTGGATATGAATTTCTTTTTCATCTCACCCACACCCTTGGGTTTTTCTTCTGAACTATTCAATACCACGCAGATTTCGTGCTTATCTATATTTTATTAGTTATTTATTAATATAAGAATTGAAAACAAATAGCAGTCAATATTGTAATTAGAAATACAGCCAGCCACTTTCTTTGTCTTGCTCTTGCTTTCCTCGATTGTGGAACAATTGTGATTTGAGCATTGGAAGATTCAAGGCTGCTGACGTTCAATGTAGCTTCTAAGCCTTCATGATCTGAAACCATTAGTATAGGATTGTTTTGATTCTTTTCATCAGCAGAAACTACAGCTGAGTTTGTTGTAGAAAAATGTTGATTAGTTAGAATATAATCCAAACGAACTAATCGGGCATAAGTCGCTGCAGCATTGGGAGTGGAATCTCTTAATCCATTAATCGATAGAGATCCTAGCATATCATTGTATTCTTTAGTACCATATTGTATATTTAAATCTCCACATAATATAACCTTATGATCAGCATGATAGGTACTGATATGATCATTAATTTGTTGAAGTTGTCTTGTACGAATCCGACGTGAAGGTTTTGCATCCAAATGAGTATTAATAACAATTAGATCTTTATTTGTTTTTGTAATTTTACAACACATATAACCTTTATTAGTCGCCAATTCAGCTAAACTGTAACCATTGAATGGTTCTTGATGACAAGGTTCTATTTTATGAGCAGATAAAATTAAGCAGCCACTATCTTGCATGCCAAACCATGGTGTATTCGCTGTATAGCTATATGGATATTTGGATTTGACTGTTTCTATTAAGTTGGTTCGCTGTCGAGAACCATAATTCAATAATAAAAATGGATTGCATACAAATACCTCCTGTAAACATATAATATCGTAGAGCTGCGTAGCATCATCCATTAACCAAGTAGCAAATGTATTTAATCTTTGCGCTGAATATCGTCCACCTACGAATCGATGACACCATAAATTATATGTTAATATTCGATAACTATTCTTATTCATATTGTTAACAGATACGTCGACTACCGGTTGGACTGAATTTGTAGTATACATGTCAGATCTAAAAGTTCAATTCAATTGTTAAAATATATATTTTTAAGTTATTTGGAGGGTATGGATGTTTGGAAATGAATGAAATAGAACACCTACTTCGCCTTACCCACACCTTCAAGACGTAAGGGCTACATATATTCGTTACACGCGTCCTACATTCACACGCAAAGATAGTCGTAATGATTACCTATAGTCAAAGTATGTAAAGAGAAAAGAGAAATAAAGTGGCTTGTTGTTTTTTCTTTTTCTTTCTCTTTCTTTTTATGTGACGCATAACAGAACTGACTAATATTTCAGATAAATACAAAAGCATATACTGGAGTGTGATAGAAAAGCTTGCTCAACATTCGTATGGCTTATGTAACACTTAAAAATGAGTAATAGAACCAGTTTGATTTCAGTCTTGCCACGGCCTTCAGCCATGATACATCATTCTCTTTCTTCTATTTCCTTGAGTCATACATACATTCTGAGTCATATACATATGATCGAGATTCTTAAGTCACAATTATATTTTATATTCTAGTGCATAAAATAAAATAAAACAAAATTAAACATAGATAAATACATTTACTGAACAAATTTTTTTTAAACATATATTTTTCATCTCACCTAATAGCTTTCAATATATTCTGATTCAATAATATATACTTGTGCATATAAGCACATTTCAAAATAGCATTCAAATCGATTTTTAATTCAGCTGATACTAATTCTGTTGTCATACAGTTTCGCCTGTCATTTACTAAATGTTTCATTTGTGAAAAAACAGATTCAATATAAGCATTACTGCAAAGTAATAACATCCAGAGTTGATCGAATAAAATATTGAGAGCTTTCATTGAAAATATAAAAGACAAAAAAACCAAAAAGCAGAAGAGATGGCAGCACTGATGTAGTCAAATAAATAAACCATCTTGAGAGTATGTGTGTGAGTGACTGCTTTACCAATTTACGTCATTCACCTACACCAACACTCTGAAGATGCAATGTTCGCATCGCATTAAAAATATTTGTTATTTTTATTTTTATTTCATGAGAAATTAAAGGAATTAAAATGACTTGAAGAATACTTTAATATACACAACTGTACATGACCTACATTAATCTGAAAGTCTAAATATAGAAAATGTTTTATTTCACTCGAACTTTTCGTTTGATGGCGTATTACGTCATGTTACAATCATGAGAATCAATGGAACGATTTTATTAATCTTCTGATTAATGATTTATATTTACCTCGCATCATTGTACTTCAATAATATCAGTTTGTCAAAAAGTGTATTATTATCATTATTTGTTCTTTCAGTCCTTAAATGTTGTTTCTAAGCAGCCATCTCTCTCAAAAAAATTACTCAATATTTAATTCTTTTCTTTTTCTTTTCTCTATGCATGAATAGGCGATGAAAGGCGATTATAAGTATTATATTTTTAGAATACACGTATTAAATCGTTCAATATATTTCAAATTAAACGAATTTTTTCAACAAAAGATAGATAGATATATTGTTAACAGATGGTGCTTATCCTCTGTGAAAAAAAATATCGTTTGTGATGCAGCAAATTTCTTCTATCGAATCTTTTATATGTACAAAACCAATATTGACAACCTTGCATAAAAGTACATTGCTGACGTCAAAAGTAGATGTACGTCATACTGTTCTTTTTATTCAGCCGTGATTATGACGTACATTTCTGTTGAATAAACAAGAATGAAAAAAGAAAGAATTTACATAAATATCTGTTTCTCATTTATTAAGTTGCTTTTTTGTGGTATGTACACTATTATGACCAAAATTGTATTTTATTACATATCAATAAAAATTTAACAATAAAATTTAAAATCGTTTTCTATTCTTTTAGAAATTCGTTTGAACATTATTTCATTGAAAAACGAATCAATGATTGTTACTCCTGTACATCCAAATTCGATTAAAATATCATTAGTTCAAAGTATATAGAACATATTTTTTTAAAATTTCTTATTAATGATTATCGTGATATATTTTTATTTTAATCAAAAAAAAAA